CTTGTACTCAAGTAATTTATTCCTTAAGTAGCAATACGTTTACTTAAGTACAATTTCTTAGTACTCTTTCCACCACTGGAAGCTTGTCAGATACTGTCTAGAGTGCGTGGAATGGTGCGCTGTGATTGGTTGAGCAGATGTATCGCATTCTGCAGAGAAGGGAGACTGGCATTTGTCGCAGTTTGGAAAGATAGGGAGAAAACATGACAGAATAGCACGGTGGATATCGCATTTTGTGTAAAAATTAAAAATTAAATTTTCAATACTGACCAGATACAATACTGATTTTGACGGGATCAAAAAAAAATTTTAATCGTGTTTTGGAGCCATATATATACATACACAGTATATATATATATATATATATATGATGAGTTCAGATGCAAAAGCCTCTAAATGCCATCTGAAATTTTCTTCTAAAATGAAAATTTTTCTCAGGCTCCTATGTTTATGTTCAGTTATTTCATTTTAATAGCAATGAAAAGAACTATTCATTGCCATTACAGTTAAACTACTGAACCTACACATGAGAGCCTGATGGAAAAAAAGCTAATTTTAGAATACAATTTCAGACGGCATTTAGAGGCTTTTGCATCTGAACTCTTCATAAATATATATATAATCATTGTAAATTAAATAATAAATACATTCATATATAGTAATGTATAATTAATATAATATATATATATTTCTTTTGATATATTCCATATATCAATCATATAAATCCATATTTATGTATTTTAAATATTAAATATAATATTAGATCATTAATTATATTATATTTCGAATTATTCAATTAATTATTTAATTTAGTTATATTGACATAAAATTAGTTAATATATAAAATACACAAATATATGCTAACATATTGTAATAAGATTATAAATATATAATATATTTTTAAAAGGTATTTAAATATATTTATCTATTCTTATATTTTACATATTAAATAATTAAAATCAAATATATAATATTTATAAAAGAAAAATGTAATTATATTAATATATAAAACATATAGTATTTATTTATGTCAATATTCATTTAAATCACTTTTTAAATCTGAGCCATAGCTTCAATCTCCAATTAAAATCAATCAAATGTAGTCATTTAAAAGTAACCATGACAGGAAACATCCAGAAATGTTATTCTTGTGATGGTAAAGAGGAGCAGAGCTCCGAGCTTTGACTTCCCTATTAAGAAAGAGAGACATATTTAATGAGTGGGAAAGCCTGCTCAAGCATTAGAAATTCAATCCTGCCCATTACTGGCGTGATGAAGCCGAGCTAATGGAGCAGGACTCCAGGTACCCTCATCTAAATGAAGAGGTGGAACTAGCAGGTTTTTCCCTTTCTGAAGTGTCTCTAATGCTTACATCTAATAGCCATTACCTCTGCTTTAAGGGGACCGAATGTGATGATGACCGTTGGAAAATAGGAAATAATTTGTCAAAGGGCTTGTACGGACAATCTGAGGACAGAATTTCAAGAGTTGGTACAAAACATAAATAGGAATCATGCTAAACACAGTTAACATTGTATTTATTATGATATTTATAATGTCTGGAAAGTTTATGGAAGAGTCTATGGAAATTCATGGTTAAGGTTTGAGAATCCTATATGGGCCATTCTACAGAATTGGTCCAAACTGCTGTCCCACAACCAAAAAACACATTTAATACACGTTTAAGTATTCAAATCTTGAATGTTTACTAAGAACCTTCTATTATCTATTGAAACCCACAATAATATTTAAAGTATTAGTAAGCTTAATATATGTATAAAAGCATCATTTATTGGGTACTTTCAATTGGGAGGTGGCTGTCCTGAACCCTAACCCCTAAATTTCAACTTATAAAAATGATATTGAAATATTTTTCATTGTTGTTTTTAAAAGTATCTTGTTAATTCTTTTAAAAAGTGAAGTTCAAAAAGAAAAGTATATTTTCTTTGTAAATTATGAAACTTTATATTAAAAAAATGTGTCCAGCATTTTCACGTCACTACCGAAATGTGTATGTTTTAGTCTATTGGCCGAAACTACATCCCTATATTTATGATCAGGAAATATATAGGTGTCACTCTCTCTCACAGCTACATGGTGAGTAGATAGGTCTCATCATTTTGAGGTAAATGTGTTCAAAAATCTGAAAAATCTGTGTAACTTTAAGAAATGTCACTACCGAACACCTTTTTTCTGCAATTAAGCACACTTTTTTTGGTAGTTATTCCATAACATTTAGTTTTTATATGTGTACCACTGTTCAGAACTGTGCTAGCTAACCATGCGCTGATTAGCATCCTTGAGCTAGGTTCAAAAGTATCTCAAATTGTCACTACCGACACATTTGGTGGAGTTTCGGTAGTAACATTTTGGGGGTTTCTTGGGTGTTATCCCATAGAATTGTCACTACCGAAACAGTCACGACCGAAACATGTTATCACTGTTTCAGTAGTGACAAAAGGGAACACATAATCCTCATATTTGGGGGAAATAAACACAATTTGAGTACAGTTTAGTACAGCAAACTTTTGTATTTTAGTACGTTTTAGTAGTGTTATAGTATGCAAGTTAGAATTCGGTAATAAGATGTGGTTGTTACCAAAGCATTACTGTCACTACCGAAAATGTGCTGTCACTACCGAAACATGGGATGTTTTGTCAAAAATAAAGTATACTCAATTATCAACTAAGATGTTTTGATAGTTTTTGGTTCAATGTATATTCAAACTAATGAATCCTTAACTTAGAAATCAGTATTATTAACTTTTTGCCTTTTACAAAAAAAAATTGGATTCAAAATACAACAAATCTCACACATTAAATTACACTTTAAATATTGTTAAAAAATTTAATTGTTATTGATTTACCTCTGAAAAAATGTAATAAAATAGCAAATATATATATATATATTTACAATGTAGATTTAAGCAAAATCTTAAAAGGTCAATATAACCCTTCTAATTAAATTATTATTACTGTGTTTCAGTTGTGACAAATTTGGGGAGAGGACAAATATTCCAAAACGTTCTGAAAATATAATATGAGAATTAACTGCACAATTACTAAATGTGTACCTTGGATATTATACAATTTCCATACATACTAATTTTTTGGAAAAATACTTTTTTTTCCCGAAGACGTTTCCAACTCTGACTTTGCACCAATCCTGTAGAATGGCCCATAAAATAAAACAGGAAAGAATAACAATTTTTAGTTTAGAGTGTGTTTAAAAGCTAAAGCTCTTTTTTTCTCCATTGGCCGTCCTTCAATTATATAACAGTGTCCTTTAGATCCCTTTGGGATTCTGTAACAACAACAGCAGAAGAATCGTCTCATAAACAAGTTTTTATCTGTCAGACAAGATGGCACAGTCCTTCGCTCTGAACTCACAACAGTCCTCTGAAGCCTCTTCCTGGCAAACAGCGCACGACGCAACACCTTTCCTTTCCATCGTAACATTCGCTCACAATGCAGGGATGGCAGCGCAGGACCCTCAGGATAGGACGTAACAGTTTTCAACACTTCCTCCAGCTTTGGGCCACAGAAGTGGTTTTTGCGTGTTTTTAGAGAGTGGGACGGCGGGGAGGGGTGAGACTGAAAACAAACGGACCCACTCGGACACTTTGATCTTCGTTTCCTGGCAATTATTTACGTCTGTTTCTCACGAATCTTTTTTTCGCTCTCTTGCGCTTGATTGTGGCTCGCTTCCCTCACTTTTCACCCTCGAACACAATACAATTTCTCTTTAAAAGTTTCTGGCAGGAAGCTATAAAAACACCTCAGTTGCTGCTATTATTTGAATGGAATATAAAGTAGCTCCCAGCAGAATATTGTGCTTTAGATGTTTGATAACCCACTATAAATATGTATCATACATTAATATGTAAACATGTATTATGGTTATTCCTTACATCATGGGATATTTTTGAGTAAACATGAAATAAAACTAAACAACAATAACAATTAATAATAAAAGAGTAAAAATAAAAAGAATTTAATATAATTATAATAATAATAATATAAATAATAAATAAATAACAATACAAATACAAGTAGATATAAACAATTAAAAATAAAAAAGAATTAATTATTATAAGTAATAATTAAATAAGTATAAAAATAAAATGTAAATAATTTAGGAATAAATAAATAAATAACAATAATAAAAAGTACAAGCAGATGTAAAAATTATAGAATAAAAAGTATTAAAATAATTAATTATTATAAGTAATAATTAAAATAATTAAAGAAATAATTAAATAATTAAATAACAATACAAATTAAATAAATATAAAACTAAAATAAAAATAATTTATAAATAAATAATATAATGAATAATTAAAATAAATAAACAATAAAAAAATAAATGACAATAATAAAAAATACAAGTAGATAATAATATTAATAAAATAATAAAAAATATAAAAATAATGTAAAATAATAAATATTAATTAAAATAAATAACACACAATTAAATAACAATAATTGATTTTAAGGTGTATTTATTTTTCCTTTATTTAAAATTTTATTTATTTAAAAAATTAAGTTAATTAATAATTACAATAATAAAAAATCATTTAAAAATGATCTTCCAAATCTTACGATGTGTTTGTGTTTATTATTATTGTGTAATATTCATTTTAATATTATATAATATACAACATCCAATCAATTCCTGAAGAATGAAATACATTATTTCTACATTATTTATCCTGCTTCACTCTGAATATCGTCACATTACTAAAGTAAAATGGGTTGCAAATAGCAATTCACATTGCTATTTAAACTAAAATTGCAAGGTCAAATTAAATGGCTAAAAATCCAGTAATCTGCAAAACAACACAACGATTTGACTTTAATAAGCTGTCCGGCATCCTAAATATCATGTCAGCATAAAATTCAGTCAAACATATCCTCACATTAGCATCCAAGATGCATTGTTTATTCAAAAAATGAATTCATAACCTTCATGTTTTTTGCTGAAAAGCCATGGAGGGGTATGAAAAGAATTATAAAGGGGCAGGTCAATCGGTAGCAGGACCTCCAGAGAGGGGCCATTAATCTGAGGCCTCCCGTCGCACCCGTAGCCTGACCGGCGTGACCACAGGCCTGTTCCCTTGACCCACGCACAGCAGAGATCTGCTGAAGAGGCAGCTGCTAAAATGGCCATTTTGGAGAGAAACAGGAATAATTGTGGCCTGTGTTGCTGGAGCAAAGTAAAAAGATGTCATTTAAGACCCCCACTGCTGAGGGGCAACCCTTAACTTTCCTCTAGTCTCCAAAAGCATGGTTTTTGGGTATTGCTGAGGAGTGAGTATGTGCATCAGAGCATGATCTTACTTGTGTGTGTGTGTGTGTGTGTGTGTATTCTTAGGAAACATACATACCGGTTACATATATACCATGAATGCACATCTCTGGTTAAGAGTGTCTGCCAAAAGAACAAACATAAATGTAAGTTTCTATATCATGCAATGCATTTTGAAATATTCTGGTATTTATTTTCAAGATAATTGTGGTCAATTACACAATCAAATTTTAATTTCTGTTAATTATTGACAGTATGAATTGTTGAAAAGATTTATAAAACATTTGTCTGAGATGCATAGATTCACCATGGTCAAAAATGTAATTAAATTATGAAGTGAAAAGATTTAATTATGATTATTTATTTCACAGCCCAGTACGTGTACACAATATGAATTTCAATACATTTTCAAATGTATATTACACACACACACTACTCCTTGGTAACATATATAAGAATTAAATATAATATCTTATACTATGCAATGCATTTTGAAATATTTTAAAGACAAAGAGATCTACTTTCTGAGACATGGCCTTGACTGACTCTATGAATTGAATCTATGAATATAAAAACTATAAATAATACTGTACTATAAATAATAATGCTTAAATTAATAAACACATTAATTAATACACACATTCATATAAATATTATTTTTTAAATCCAGCAATTAGATTATTAAATTATTGTTTATCAGACATTCAACCAAGAAAAAAAATTAACTATCAGCTACAAAACTGTATTTTGCGTTATTTTAGGGTTATTTAACTAAAAGTATTTAAATGTAGAAATGAAATACATTTAGAAATATATATTTTAAATATCATTTATAAAAAATTATATTACAATATAAAACATTGAAATATTTTATATTTAATATTAAAATTATTTTGGTCAAACAAAATGGGATTTGCTCAGCAATTAAATTTTTTTTATGATTATGTTAATAAAACATTTATATGCAATATATATATATATATATATATATATATATATATATATGATTGTTAAATGCAAAAACCTTCATTCTTTAGATCCAGCCTCCCAGTTTCAATCACCTGTCATCCATCAACAGATCAAATCCTCATTCATTCATTTCTTTCCGCTCTTGTTAGTGTGTTATGCCTATTCCAGCAGAAGATGGCCAGTGTTTGGGGGGGAATGAAAGATGAAAGGCATGTGGGGGCTTCGGGCGAGACGTGTTGTGTTTTGGAGGGAGCAGTTGGGAGTCTGATGACAGAACGGTCTTTGGGAATTTAAGAGTAGCTTGGAGTGAGCTTTTCCCTTTGGATGACGGCTCCAGGAAGAAAGGCTTCTCTTTTCAAAGGCTCTGGCTTTATTTATATTACACATTTTCATCGAAGGGCTCTTTCAGAGGCAGACGGCTTTTTTCAGTCGCCCAACACGGGTTTTTTTATGTTTTATCACCGACCGTATGTTTGTTTCCGGATGAGCGGCCTTTATTTCTTCACAACTGTCCGGCAAGAAACAAATATGCAGCAGAATTGGGTTCTTCTCTCACGTACACTCTTGTGAACAGTAAACACTGATTAGCTCCAGTCACAGCCCATCCGTCATTAGCCATTATTAGCTCAAGACGGCTAAATGATAAATTAGCTGTCATTCAAAGCAGCCACATCATTTAGGACTGTTTCATTGCTGACAAACAACAGTGTCAAATGACCGTTGCCCCCTCTGAGGGAATCACAGTCCCTCTGGACTAAACCGGCCAACGGATTTGGTGCTTAATAGTGAACAAGAAAAATCAAAGCGAGAGGCGTTCACCTGTTCTTACCTGTCAGTTAAATAAAGTGCAGAATGAAAGCCCCGATGAGTTACTGTGCTTCAAATCACTCCTGCCATCCATTGTTGTCCTGCTAAAGACTGATGAGCAGCAGTGTGTAATTGAATCATGTAGCACATGTCAAAACAGGAAATGAGGTCAGAGGAAATGAGTAATATGAGGAAGTCTGGTGACTTCTCTTCATTAGAGATGCAAGCAGGGTACAAACTGTACTTTTTGTCACATTTGCTAGCAACAAAAAAATGTTGTTTGTGGTTATGCAAGTATTTTAGAATATATATATATATAT